GATGAGACTATGCATCTGCACGAGCAACACCAAGGCCAACATGTGTGTAAAGGATGACCATCTCGTCTCCCTCTCACAGGTCCGCAAGTGGTGTGAAACACACTGGTAATGCAAAAGAAGAAGCCACTGCCCTCCATGAGACACCCTAGGGTCCTGGTTTCAAGCACTTTGGGAACACCTGTGACATGTACGATGGTGGGGTTATTATTTACGTAGCCACTGAATTCTGGTAATGCTTCAATTCCTTAAGTGCTCCTCATCACCCCCACAACAGAAAAAGGAGGCCAAAGGGCAAGATGGACAAAGAAATCAATAGCAGAGAAAGACTACCTGAAGACAGTATTTTTTTAATAGCCACTTTTAAATGTGTTCAGTATACCAGGAAACAGAGTTCATAATCCCAGATATGGGTAGCATAGCAAACAATGTTGGTAGTGAGGATAATGGTGGAGCTGGCGGTATTCATGAAAGTAATACAGGCAATCCAAGTGTAAAGGGCTCATTTGGAAGGAAAACAGTGAAAATTTAGAAATTAGTGAAGGTAAAAAAGCGCTTCTCAGTGGAGAGAGATAAGGAGGGAGGGAAGAGGGGAGGGAGAGAGACGTGTAAAACCTACTTTGGTAAAGGGATGAGTAAGGCCAGGCCTCCAGACTAAATAGGACATCATGAAAGAAGAAATCAGATTGGGGACTGACGGAAGAGGTGACATACAGTATTGCTGGTCAATGAAGGAGACGTGCAGGAATATGTTGCAGTTTTTGAAGTACTAAACTCACTTCCTCTATCCACTAACAACAAAATCAGATAACAACAGCTTCCCCCTGCCAAAAATAAGTCAGAGTATTGAATAAATGAACAAATGTTTGTGACAGGCATCATCACTGCGCTTGCACCGCCCACTGCCCCACGAGGTCAACTCAAGCCTGGGTCACATGGCAAGGAGCTGCGGTATCGGGAAACATGCCTACAGATCTTCACGGGCAGGAGGCCCACGGGGAGAACTGATGCCCATGACAGCTGCAGGAGCAGCCCAGGAGCGAAGAAACCTCGGGAGCACGGACAGCGCCAGTCAGAGCACCTCTCATGTGTGAGTCAGCATATTCGCCATCAAGGTAAAATAAACCCTGCCCTGTGGACTCAGAAGGCACTAAGAAATCATAACATCTAATCAGCTGGTAGGTCAAACAACACTTTTTAGGCATCAGCTGTAAGAAATATACTCCATGCTGTGAGCGGAGATGAAAATCTGACCCCAAGGAGTTTCAATCCAGTTGGGGCCCCAGAAGGAAGACGGTGATGTAAAATGTGTTAATTTGGTACAACAGGCACAAATCCAAGAGTCGGCATTTTGGGTTTTTATTGAGATATAACCTATAGAGATAACTACAAATCTGTCCTCGCTAACTAGTGAATAAGCACTTAGGAGGAAACAGAGCTACAGAGCGGGCATACAGAGCGGGCATCCCACCTTATCTGTTAGTGTTTTCAGTCACACTAGATAAAGGGAAACCAAGTCCGGCCAGCTAGAGTGGCTTACACCAGCATCGTGAGCGCAGAGGAGGACGCCTACAACGTCAAGGCCATCTTGGGCTACTCGGTGAGTGGCAGGCCAGCCAGGGTGAGGCGCTGTATCAAACAAAACACAACAGGAGCGCCTGACCAGGGGAAAGGTGAGATGAATTCAGCACTACAGAGCATGCGCAAAGGTCAGCATCCTACACGCTGTGGTCAGTCGGCTCATCTCTATCTTACCCCAGCCTCTCTTCATTCTGGCCATCTTGGAATACACTTTGCTCATTGACACAGAATCCAATATCTCCACAGTGACAATCACATTTTTCAAAAGAAAATAAAATTTTACAACATTTTCAGTGGATCCTGCATTAAAGCTAACATTTGTGGGTTAGATATTGGTGGAATTTGAGTCTCGGACACATAACGGAATCTGATTACCCCAAACAAGCAAACAGGGCCTGGAAGTTAACGTTGCTTACTTGTGGGAAAACTACTGTTCCAGGGATGTTTTCTGCACTTATACTGACGTGAAATACAGATCCGATTAAGCAGAAACTGAATCTGAAGGTCCATGCTGTACCCCAGACCCAACACTGGCAAGCTTTCTCCAAGTTATATGTCTCATGTCACACAACACAGCACTGCTCCTGTCACCAGTTCTGTGGCTTGTGTTTAATATTTGTCCACTGGGTTGGGTTTAAATAATTCATAACACCTACAAACAAAAGCATTTGCATTTTATGTCACCACACACTTAACTGAAATGCTTAATAAAAACTGTAAGTTCGCACTCTACAAATTAGTAGTCTAGGCAAAATCAGCTCATTATTCCTGTGGCATTTTGTTTAGATAGCAAACGTAACCTTCTCTGCCGTATTCATCAAGGTGTGGTCAGGGAGAGGTCACAGTTGCGAAGTGAGCCATGAAAATTACAGGGGCTATAAATACATGTGTAAAGTAAGAGAATGCTGTGTTCTGGACACGCACACACACATGCGTGCGCACACACACACACAAGTAAAGAATTTCATCATACAGTAGCTTCTACCATGGATTTAAAAATTAACACTACAATTCAATGTCTAATCCTTCAAGAAGCTCAGATGCTATTAGAATCGAGAGAAGACTGAGATGAGAAGACCCTGCAGGGATCAGAGGGTTCGTCACAAAAAGAGATGAGTCACACATTGCCCATAGGAAAAGCAAACGAGAGGGACGGATAGGAGCAGTGTCCCAACAGAGCCACAGAGGAGCAAAAGTCTAATTTGGCTACAAAACAAGGACTTGGTATCTCTGGTCAGAATACACACTGAGAATGGAAACAGAACAGGCCATCTCTGTTTGCACGGGGGGACTCAGCTCCTGACTGTGTGCTGCTTACATGACATAATCCCTGGAATATGAGTGGCAGAACTAGCCTCGGAAATGCCCAGCTCTGGAAACAAAACAGTTGGGTGTTATTACGTGTTGACTAATTCCCTCAGCCTGGCTGTCTCCCACTACCTTAAGTCCAAGCCATTTGCTAACAGCAACCGTCTAACATTCAATGGTGCTAAGGCTAAGCTGGGTCCAGACAGTGGACCAAACAGAGAGCGGAGGCCTTTAGAGTCTTAGCTCTAAATAAAACGCTAAAACTTACATAAAGAAACAAGTTCATTTCAAGGTTTTCTGAGTCCTACTCGGGACTAGAACATTGCCGTCCTCTCCAGGTCAGCCGAGTGACTCACAGTTCCCCTTTGCCAACTGGAGGGTTCAGGGAGGGTAGACACCGGGACCCAGGGGAGGCAATCCCAGTGTTCCACCTACCTGTCATCCATGGAATGGTTCGATGGTATTCACTTGACCTAACACGGTCCAACCTGAGAATTTTCCTGGAATAATCCGTCTTAAATGCTTGCAATTTGACTAAAACATCCAGAGAACCCTTAAAGGCTTCTCAAGTATATTGGGGGGATACAGCATCTCTCTGTAAAATTAACAGAAATTAGATGAGATTTCCAGAGTCCCACACCAAGCTTGTGTTTCACAGGGAAGCAGGAAGGGGATCTGGGCCAATGATTTGATCAATGGAACGCGAGCCATTTAAAGGAGATTTAAGTACATAAGATAGAAGAAAGGGGCAGATATCTATGAATAGAATTCGGAGACACCACCGAGTAGAAAGGAGGGCCGAGTAATAGAAGAAGAAAGAAAGAATGTTTCAATAGACTTTTCAAGTAGATCAAAACGGTGGCATCTGAAAAGGCTATAGAAAGAATCCTATGGCCAAAGAGGTGCTGAGAATTCATAATGTCTCCTGATTTAACTTAATAGTGGAAATCTACATACAGGGGAGAAGATGGACTCGGGACTTTTGATTTTAACCAAAATGGAAAGTTCAAATAAAAACGAACAGCCTCCACTGATTCTCACTTTTAGATCTAAGAGAGACCTATCGTCGGCGCTTCCTGCTGGGGAAATGAAAGCATGACGCAGCCCCCGATCTCACTCCTGTCTTTAGCCAGCCAGCGTCTTCCAGTGTGCAGTTCTCTCAAGGTGAATGGTGGACCCCAAGAGCAGCGACAGCAGAGACACTTCAATGTGCGCATGAACAGCTTCCCCTGGAGACTTCGCTTACCGCTGTGAGTACAGAATGTGAGCCCAGACTCTGGGCTCTGAAACCAGACCTGCATTCAATTTCTGGGGCCACCCGTAGTCAGGTGACCCCGAGCAAGGTAGTTAACCTTTCAAAGTCTCCCTTTACTTGAGGATGGGAATGGGAGCAGCAGAAGGGAAATGTAGTCCAGGCAGCCAGAGTGGAAGTCTGGACTTGATAAAATGGTCTGAGAAAAGTGTTTAGACAACAGGATGTGTTCTGTAGGCCAAAGATCCTACATAGCATCCCATCATCTCAGAGATTCAGGAAGTACTGTGCTTCTGAGTGGCCTTGGGTCTGTTGCCTGTAAGACAGACTTTGGAAGGCCACGCTGTACAGCTCTGAATCACAGTGCTGGTTCCTTGAAAGGATTGGCGGGCCCAATCCCTTAACAGCCTTCTGCTCTTAAAGATGAATTAAATCAGTTCCCAGGCTAACGCATGCTAACAGGAAGCCTTCCATGCTGTCTTTGCCACCATCATTGTACTGTAGGGCTTCCCAACCATCACTGCCTCAACCCCAAAAGATCACTCTTTCCAAGGACAAGTACAACTCCAGCCGGACGGCCGAAGGCGGCCAAAAATTTAAACATTCTGTTAAACAATTGTTCGTTCTTTTGATTTTTTTCATTCTCTTTCCCTCAGCAGTAAAAATATGTTATTCTTTTGGGCCATAATAATTGAACCTCGTTCATATATATATAAATGCAGAGACTCCTGTCCTAGGTGACATAAACTCTGCTTACAAAGCTGGGTGTGGGCAGTGGCAGCGAAACATCTCACGGGACACATCCTAAGGTGACCTCCAATTAGACATTCGGTGGCCTCTTTAAAGATAAGTAGAGCGGATGCGTGCGTTGGCTTACTCCTTTCTGCCTATTGACGCGGCCGAGGAAGCATCGCTGAGGGCTCCCGTTTCCCAGCCGTCATGTCTAAGTCAGAGTCTCCCAAGGAGCCGGAACAGCTGCGGAAGCTCTTCATTGGAGGGCTGAGCTTCGAAACAACCGACGAGAGTCTGAGGAGCCATTTTGAGCAATGGGGAACACTCACGGACTGCGTGGTCATGAGAGATCCAAACACCAAACGATCCAGGGGCTTTGGGTTTGTTACATACGCCACTGTGGAGGAAGTGGTTGCCGCTATGAATGGAAGGCCCCATAAGGAGGATGGAAGAGTTGTGGAACCTAAGAGAGCTGTGTCAAGAGAGGATTCTCAGAGACCAGGTGCCCACTTAACCGTGAAGAAGATCTTTGTCGGTGGCATTAAAGAAGACACGGAGGAACACCACCTGAGAGACTATTTTGAGCAGTATGGGAAAATTGAAGTGATTGAAATCATGACTGACAGAGGCAGTGGAAAAAAGAGAGGTTTTGCTTTTGTCACCTTTGATGACCATGACTCTGTGGACAAGATTGTTATTCAGAAGTACCATACTGTGAACGGGCACAACTGTGAAGTAAGAAAAGCCCTATCCAAGCAGGAGATGGCTAGTGCTTCGTCCAGCCAAAGAGGTCGAAGTGGTTCTGGAAACTTTGGTGGTGGTCGTGGAGGCGGTTTTGGCGGCAATGACAATTTTGGTCGAGGGGGAAACTTCAGGGGTCGTGGTGGCTTCGGTGGCAGCCGTGGTGGTGGTGGATATGGTGGCAGTGGGGATGGCTATAATGGATTTGGTAATGATGGAAGCAATTTTGGAGGTGGTGGAAGCTACAATGATTTTGGCAATTACAACAATCGGTCTTCAAATTTTGGACCAATGAAAGGAGGAAACTTTGGAGGCAGAAGCTCTGGCCCTTATGGTGGTGGAGGCCAGTACTTTGCTAAACCACGAAATCAAGGTGGCTATGGTGGTTCCAGCAGCAGCAGCAGCTATGGCAGTGGCAGGAGGTTCTAATTACAGCCAGGAAACAAACCTTAGCAGGAGAGGAGAGCCAGAGAAGTGACAGGGAAGCTACAGGTTACAACAGATTTGTGAACTCAGCCAAGCACAGTGGTGGCAGGGCCTAGCTGCTACAAAGAAGACATGTTTTAGACAATACTCATGTGTATGGGCAAAAAAACTCGAGGACTGTATTGTGACTAATTGTATAACAGGTTATTTTAGTTTCTGTTCTGTGGAAAGTGTAAAGCATTCCAACAAAGGGTTTTACTGTAGACCTCTTCTCACCCATGCTGTTGATTGCTAAATGTAATAGTCTGATCATGACACTGAATAAATGTCTTTTTAAAAAAAAAAAAAAAAAAGATAAGTAGAATTAATAGACTGTAGCAAAGGTGATGATGCCACTCTGTGGACTGGATGACACATTAGTTATATATGTATTATAGATAGTTATATATATTAGTTATGTAAGTGTGCATGTGTGTATGTATATGTTATATATGTATGTGTGAGTGTGTGTGTATATATCATGTGTGTATGTGCATGTGTGTATATTATATGTATGTGTGCATGTGTATGTGTATATATTATATTGCGTGTGTGTATATATCATATATGTATATGTGCATGTGTGTGTTTGTGTGTATTATATGTGTATGTGTGCATGTGTGTGTTATATATGAATTGTGTATGTATATATTATATGTGGATGTGTACATATGTATATGTGTGTGTGTGTGTGTGTATGCATGGATGGCCGAGAGAGATAACTCTGTGGTTAAAATCAGAGGTTGTTTTTTCAGAAGCTCCAGGTTCAGTTCCCAGAACCCATATGATAGCTCACAACTGTCTGTAACTCCAGTTCCAGGGGATCCAAAACCCTCACACAGACATACATGCAGGCAACACATCAATGCATATACAGTAAAAATAAATAAATAAATCATTTTCAAAGATATTGATATAGATATGGAAAAGGCAAAGTATCACGCCATGCCACAGTATAGTCTCTGTTTCACTCAAGCAGAGAAGCAGAGATCTGAGGACATGAGCTGCCATGTTGCACAGGTGCCCGTAAGGGGGCTCCTCAGCAAAGGAGAGCTGAGACAGCCTGACAGTGACAGCCAGACAGGAAGCGGAGACCTCGGTCCTACAGCTACAGGAGGACGAGACTGCTGACAGTACAGGAGAGATGGACGCTGGTCACTCTCCATGGAGCATCTGATGAGACTGTGGCCCTGACCAAGTCCCGACGAGACTCCGGAGTAGAGCGCCTGATGAGCTGTGTGGAATGGGGGTTGCTTCAAACTGACAAACTCATTGTGCGAGTTATGCAGAAGTAGCAAATGAAAACCATCAATATTCTCTAATAAATTTATTTAGTACTGGCATACATTTTCATGCCTGGCTACTAAATACCTTGAGTGACATCTAATCTCTCCAGATCGTACCTTTTTTGAACATTCCACCCATCACTGTGCTCCAGGAGCTGGTCGGCACTTACCTCTTTCCTGAAACAGCTTCTGCACAATAGGAAGACAGTACCATTTCTGGCAATATCAGCACCATCAGTTTTAGAACATCCTGCTGGACTCTGCCTTCTACATCATACAACAGGTAAGCACTCCCTCTCTCTGAAGCTGCAAACCAGATTCTTCACAGACAACAGAAAATCACCAGATTTTCCCCGTCCTTTGCACTGAAAATCTTTCAGATGAGTTTGCACGAAGCATGCAATTAAGAGAAGGGATAATAAAACTACATTAACTGGATAGAAAGTGTCTGGGCCTGTCTTCTTCATTTAAAAAAAAAAAAACTAGAACTGTTTTCAACAAATATGTGTGAGCTTACATAAGACTTCATTTTCTAAGGACTGCAATGTTTTCTTCTGCATCCTGGCTAATACACTTCATTCCTGGATCTAACCGCAAAATGGCGCACGTCTATATATCACCTGGGCTGCTACAAGTCACGTGGGCAATTATCTTGAATACTCTGTTGAGATTTGATGGAGGGAACACAGTAGAACGAAGAAAAAGATGAGCAAATTGCTGTGTGTTTTCTTCTAGTAAGGTCTATTTCTTAAGATGCAAAGTCGAATAAAAAGAAGATTTTCCCATTAAACCTCTTGTTTACAGTCATCAGACTGTAAATTACGCCAAAGCATGAGACCCACGGGGGTGGGGGAGCACACATCCTTGATACACATCACATGATCTCTGACCACCATCTGGCTCTGGAGTGGGTGTTCCCTTCCTGACTTCTGGAATATTCTCCTAAAAATGGGATCAAGAGTTCTCTTGCTGCTGATTCTCGGGTTGATAAGAGAACTGATAAACCCTGCAGGGCTTTGATCAGGGAAGGAAGAGGCTGTGGTTGATAAAACAAGACCAGCAGAGTCAGGACAAGACGTGGGCTGAGGAGCGTCTGCAGGAACGCATGCCACCTAGAGAAGCTGAGGCTGCTCTTCCCTGTTCAGATGACTGGGAGAGTTTTCCCAGAGCAAGAACCTATTCATGCTGACTAGAACAAGGGCCCCCAAATCTATGTTATCTCTAGAGATGACACTCGAGGATCTGGGATTGTGTAAACCTATGATATCGCCATGGCAGTTTGCTCTTGTGATTAATAAAATGATAAATACATATCAATGCCCTTGGGGTCACAGAGTCACTAATGTGCCACTGTGGGTCTATCCATCTTCCTGCTGTCCTCTTTCTACACCCTATCTCTTTTTTTGGGGGGGGGGGTGAGAATTACCAAGAGATCTAAGTTATAATAACAATCTAGAAACAGTTATCTGTATCTGTGAATGTGAATAACAAAACTAAGTGTGCTATCCTCACTGGGAAAAAAGTGCTTTAAGCAGTAAAAGCCCCCACCAACTTAAACACAAATATAAAAAAAAACACATTTGGATGTAATCACAAGAAAAATGTCCATGGCTTCCCTATTTCACTAATGAGAAGGTGCAGATGCCGCATACAGAAGGATTTTATCATGTCCATATGTTTCTCGAATGACTCTCCTTGTTAGCTATTTCTCCGTATCTCTATTTAAGAATAACATACACATTCCCCTCTGAGAGGGTGGACAGCACATGTTGTAAGGTTTAAACAATTCAAGAAAATCTCCCTAATAAAAAATGGAGCCCACAGTTGAAAATATTGAGATTATGAATTATGAGTATCATTAAAGTAGTTCACTTTTTCTCTTCTAGCTAGCCTCAAGATTTAAAATTCCTTAAACCCTCAGGGAGAAGCTAATATATAGTGTGCGTGTGTACGTGTGTGTATGTATGTGTGTGTGTGTGGTCTCTGTGTATGCAGCAATTATGGACAGTGAAAGTAACTTCATAAGGTCTATAATAAATAGTCCCGTCACAAACAATGACAATCATATAAAATCGCCTTTTAGCTTTAGATGCATCATCATTATCTTACAGACAGTGGTGGCTCAGTGCAACAGTCTCGGGCCAATGTCAGTCTGGCTTTCCAGCTAAGGCAGCTCAACAGGCTGGACTTCAGAGAGAGAGGAACAGGGAAACTGAGGTACAAAGAGCATCTGCTTCCTGTCTATAAACTGATACCTCATCTCAAACTCTTCCTCCTGCACACCTTCTGTCCACCTAAACTGTCCACTGTGTAGTGGAGATCACCAGCTTGGGAGCAAACCAAGGACCACATCTCTCTCCCTCTAGCTGCCAGTCCATCAAAGGTCTGGGCTCGGGATACCGGTGCAATGGGCACCACTTTGCTAACTGAAACACGCCTGAAGACCTGACCTGTTCCCACTTCTCATGGTGAGGTTTGCTCCATTCAGACAACATAAGTGAGGGGAAACGGCAAACTTACCTGAGATACGTTACTGTTCGGAAGTATTTTAAGCAGAAGGTACATCAATGACTTGATGTCTGTGAAATAATTAAATTGGCCCAAACTGGAGCAGTAGTTTTAAAGGATAAGATTGACTACTTATCCTTGGTTAAAAAAATGCAAATATAGAACACAACAAACTTCCAGTGACAAAAATTTCCATAATAAATATCCAAAGTCCCAAAGAGCAGTTCAAAGGCATCTTTTCCCAAACGTGATTTTTATACTGTCCTCCTTTATTAACTGCAGCTTCTGTGCTGTTACTAATTACAGGATTTAAAAGATTTCTGGGGCACCAGAAAATAACATCTAGATCTTTTCAAAAGTCAAAAGTTTTTTTGTAACATGGGTTCATGAGAACTCACTCTGCTTTTCCTGGACTTCATTCTTACAAGGTTTGGATTATGCTCGGAGGACTCGGAGCCCCTAATCGCTACTCTATAAGCTGTCTTGGCCCACCAAAAATATTCAGTTGCATAAGCGGTATACCATTGGGGGGGGGGCGCTTAATTCCTCACTTCGTTCCTGCCATGAGTTAAACTTTTTAAGACCTTTGTGTCTCGCTTCTTTACTGTGCCTAGTAGTGAGATACGTGGGTGCATCAAGACGGCTTTTCTCACGGATTTCAAAACCCTACAGTCAATCTGAAAGTTCCTCTTAGGGGAAAACACACACCTCCCGAAAGGGAAAACAAACGTGACAGATTCTCCTCAAATGAGAGCATAAGAAACTCACTTACAGAGACTTCTTCAAGACCCGTGAACGGCAGAGACACCGGTGCCTTGGATCTGCAGGGCAGCTCGGTCCCACTCTGTCTCACACAGACACACAGGCCTCTGACACCAGCGCCTCTCACTGCCGACAAGTGGGTGATGTCCTCAGAGCCAAGCTACCAGCTAAGCAAGCAGGGATCGGGGAACGCCCCCCTGTCTTCGCCGCCTCATCCCATCCTCACTGCGACACCCCACAATTTACCTTAAGGAGCAAACATTCATCACTCTCCTCCACTGGGCACGGCATTGCTTCATCTCCCATCCTCCAACCTGAACTTTTTCTCCAAACCCGGTATTCGGCTGTACTGACTTGGAACTGAAGTGCCCCTCCAAACACCAAAGGTACCCCACTAAGTATTTCTCCCCTCAAGCAACACGTTGGCTGTGCAAACTTTTCGTTCACGGCTTGGATCCGACAGAAATCGGGTGTGTGTTCGGGTGCGGGGGAGGGGGGTGGCGAGGCAAATCTGACCAACGACCCTCACCTCGGCTTGACTAGCCAAATGCCAAGGTCTTCACCAAAAACACCACCCATCACCCAACTTCTGACAATGGTACCCACCAAGCTCCGTGCAAACCAAGTGGCGTGGAAGTCCCGGCAGAGATGCTGCCAGCCCGGGTAACCCGACAGGGAATGCCGCGGCGCACCCGGAGCACGCGTGGCCCCCAATTCCCA